ATTTTTTCTTCCGGCGAGGCACAAATTTGATGTAACTTCCAGGAATTTGTCATGGTTACATTGACCATATGAGTGAATAAACACCACCACCATTTCTTGCCCCTTATGCTTATTCTGTAAGTATTTGTTGCCTGGTCATTCAAGTCAACGCCGCCCATTCCAGCATTATAATTTTGAAAAACCAAAGGTTGTTGGACCGTAGTTATCTCCTTTTTGGCTCGCGACCATCGCTTGACGTAGTTGAGAGGTTCAATAAAATCGTGATTACTAGCCATTGAGCAAACACTATTGTCTTTCCATTTCACAATCAGTAAGTTATTCTCACAGTTAAATCTATAGTCGTATGTGCCCCTTTCCTCTTTGTCCATCATTTTAGAAGACTGAATGTTACAATTCTTCTGCCGATTTTCACGAATAGTGCCTGTAGCACGTATACCTTTAGCTGTCAATTGGTTCATGAGACGAAGAGTGGTAAAAAAATTGTCAAAGTACACTATGTGGTCAGCTGGGTTGTCTAGATGTTCTAGCAATGAAATTACCACATCAGCACCAAGACCAAGTGATTGCCCCTTCTTCTCACTGTTTTTGCCACAATAGGTGTCAAACGCGTAGCAATACCCGGTTGAACTGCACAACATCCAATCCTTGAATCCGAAGCGGACTGGTTTTCCGCGGATAAATTGTTTGGCGGAGTGGTGCCCAAAATATTTCACCATTGCTTCATCCACGCTCAGAGATTTATGAAAAAATCCCCACTGTCTAAAATTTTTGTTCAAAATGTCCATAAGGGGCCGTAACTTGAACATTTTATCATTTTTATTTATTTTATCATTATCTGCAAAATGTAGGTATCTTTTTATTTCTAGAAATCTATTGCGTGAGATAGATCCCGAAACAATTTTGACACCTAAATCTTCATCTAAAGACCAATACATCCTCTGTTGTGGCAATTTGTGATACCCAGAGAGCAACAAAATTCCAATGAAAATTTTCATTTCTTCCATGGTAGCAAAAAAATCATGATTATTTTTCTGTCGAGAGTAAATAATTGATTGCTCTATCATAAGTTGGAACACATTATCGTCAAACAGTTTCTCAAAAATTTGCACTGGATTATAGCCACGTAAACTTTCCTTTACTTTTTCTAAACGATCATTAGCGCCATTTTCTGTGTCACGTGAGAAAACATAAACCGGCTCAATTTTCTCCCATACAGGATTTCTCTCTTCGGCACGAGGACGCTTGCTGACAAATATTGATAATGGCTCGTCGTCACTGTCACTCCATTCGTCTGTATTGCCAAAATTTACTTCAATATATCCGGGCACATCGTTTGGAATATGGCTTTCCATAATATTATCATCATCAAACTCTTCTTGATCGGTGAGAACATCCGGTTCTGGTGGCAGGACTATTACATCAGCCTCGTCTTCGTGACTCTCAATTGCATCCGCAGCTTCTTGCAATGTAGAAAATATTTTTCGACCATAAAAACTTGTGGTCGTTATTGGTTGAAAGTCGTCATCCATTTCTGAAACAAAACGTAGCTTGAAATTAAAAATTCATACTTGAGCCCACTGTACTCATTTGAGTACATCCGTGTTTGGCGCTGATTCACGTTTCAGGAAATGAGGTTATGAATCTATGGCTAATTTTTACCACTTGTTTAATACATATAAAATAGATATTTGGCGTAATTTGTCAATAATTATACAAATAGCCTCCTAAATATATTATATTCACTTTACTTACCAGGTTCAAAAATAAGTCATATTTTAAAACTGTAACTAATCTTTTCAAAACACACCAATACCTGTCAACTATCAGTAAACACTGCCCAGAGATTAATAAAATATGGCGCGATAGCTAACAACTTAATATATTGCCCATCAGATGGCAGAGTTTGTCCAAAATAACTGTACTCATTTGAGTACGGCGGGCGTTAATGGGTTAATATTAATATTAAGAGTTCAAACTTTACTAGAGAATTTTTTTGATCATCGTGAAAGAAATATTTTCAAGATAACTAAAATAAAAAAAAATATTATTTGGTGCGCCCTACACCTCACTGTAGTATTGAGCAACAAAAAGAATTGGAAGAGAGAAACGTTTGCTCAGCAGTTCAAAGACTATGCTATAATCTGGTATACCGGTACCAAAACCAGAGCAGGAACAGAATTTGGAGTATTTGAGACAAAAACTAAATACTCGAACCGCTATTAAAAGGTGCGCGCAACATAAGAACTATCGGAAACACGGAATAGCCATCTTTTCTTAGGCAAAGAAAATAAAGTCCTCTTACCCTTAGCAGGGAATGAAGAAGAATGAAGAATGAAAAAGCAAACGTTCTAGCTCGAAAAGGAGCGAACACTCCACTAACTGGACCACTGCACTTAAAGCAGAACTCAAGAACCTGGAAGACTCCATGTGTAATCTGGAATGGGAATTATCCAATCACAATAGTTTATGTTGAGGAATAGAACATTTTTTTGATACACGTTGTAAAAAGAATTGGAGGCTAATTTCATGTGTCCAAAATAGGGTTAGGTTCAAAAATACATTCCAATGTCGCTTTCAGTTAAACTATAAGTGGTATCAACTGGTACCATTCCAATATTCAAGATTTATATGTATGTTTATTGTCTTGAAAAATTGAATCTTCTTTGTTTAAATGCAATAGAAGTACTGGTCAATGGAACAAGGGGATTGAGACACACATCCTGTATAATAATGACAAGCTTTCGTTTCGTCTTCAAAATTTTCGATACTATCGTATTTATTCCAACTTCCAACGAACAGTATTTTTTTTTGTTAGAGCCCAAAATTCAGTAAACAAATTGCCATCGTCGTTTTTTGAATATAAAACAACCAACGGATTAAATATACATTTTTCAGTTATTTGTTTAATAGCTTTAGGAATTTTTAAATATAATACCCTAATAGTTATACCGGGTGCGTCTCAAAAGTGGCTCACCCCTATAACTATTTTATTTTTTTCAGGTAAAAAACGAGATTTGATATATTAGTACCTATATACATATATGATATAAATTAGAATTGCTTGACGTAATCAATTGTTTTTGGTCACTTCCTGTTTCACCGGAAATGACTACAACTTTTGATTTTTAAATGGCACCCTCGGTATATTTTTACTTTATTTCATAGAAAATGAGGCTCTGAATAGAATGACATATCATATGTCAACTTTTAAAATTTTCCTTCAAAAATAAATCGTATTTTACATTTTAATCTAGAGTGCCATGGCTGTGTTAAAAACACTAATTTTTAATCAAGGGGCTTTGGAAAAATAGATTTGATCGTCTAAAGTTTTTCCTGTCTTGTCCTGGCCGGTTAAAAGATGCCCAAATCGTATTTTTAATCATATCTCAATTTTTTCAAAGAATAAGGCTGGCTCATTAGCATATTTGGAAAAAAAAACATTTTTTTTAAGAATAATTTGTTTCCACAGACTTGGTATATCGAGTCAGATTGTCGTTATGAACCGCATGTTACAATTTCAAATAAACCATATGCGAAAATGTCAAAAGTTGACATAGATATGATATGTAATTCTATTCAGAGTGTCATTCTCTATTCAATAAAGTAAAAAATACCGAGGGTGCCATTTAAAAATCAAAATTTGTAGTAATTTCCGGTAAAGTGACCAAACACAATTGAATGCGCCAATCAATCCTAATTTATGTCATAAGTATACTAACATATCAAACCTGTTTTTTTATCTCTAAAATAAAAAAGTTATAGTGGTGAGCCACTTTTGAGACGCACCCGGTATATGTATAAAGAAGAAATAGTGTTACTTTAAAATATATTTAAATACCTACTTAAATAAGTTTTAAATCTCGGTTTACATTTAAAAAATGCTAAAAATATACCGCTAATATAATCTCATATCTTCTGTAACGTGCTTTATATATAATTTTTACGTTTACAGAAAACATTTCCCGTTAGTTCCTTGTCAAACAGACCATGTAATCGGTCTAAATAAAAATATTAGTTTTGGAACGATTTATTTTCTTTGCGAGTAGCTGAAACTTTTGTTCCGTTCACTTGAACAAATATTTGTTCGGATTTTGCCTAGAGCGATTTAAGAGTATCTAAAAGCAACTGATTAATTCCCTGTATTTTCTCTTATTTTTCAATTTATCGAAAAAGCCATACGCTTGTCGTAACTAATAAATACCCGGTTTTAAAATGTATTTTGTGCGCTTAGGCATTGGTTTGTTTAAGGTAATAAGCTTGGCCATATGTCGCGTAGATAAAATCGAACAATTTTATTACTTGTAAATGTAACTAAGCCTGATTATATTAATTTCAGCTAAATTATCCAAATAATACGTATACTCCACTTAATATAGAACAGTTTAATATTAGGTAATAGCAGTATTGTTTAATTATCGAGGTATTTTTTTCATAGAAAACAAATTAAAAAACATCGAATTAAGTTGACATAATCATTAATGCAAAATCCAGTTACAGGTATAAAATTAATTGATCGAAGCGAAAGCGTAATCTGATATTCTGGTCGGTTTACACCGACCAGAATATCAATGTAAATTCCAAATGTGTTAGAGTACATGTCGTATTCGGTGCAAAATAGTCTCCTTGGTGCAACGCTTGTTAATAGTGCGTATCGTGTTAAGAGACAGAGACTAGCATGTTGATGATTGCACGTTCACGGCAAGTTTACCTATTCAACTGTAATTCCTATCGTAAATAGTAATGTCCGCACCGGCTAGACCAATTGTTGATCGCAAATGTTTGCTCCTCCACATCATACAAACAGCGATGTTGTCTGCTTATCCTATTTGCCAGTTTCTGATAATAATTTTGTTGGCATTAGACAAACTTTCTAACCCTAATACGCAACCTCGTTTGCCGTTTTGGCCGCCTGTTTATTTAGACCGCTGTTAGGCAATGAATTTATACGCAATTGAGACCGCAGACACTATGATATAAGGAAAAAAATGCGAGATACTTACTACTGCTGAGACGGTCCCTCCAGGCGATGGGGTTGAGACTCTGTATGCCCGGCCAGTACAGCCCCCCTGTCGTCCTTCCCAGTTCCACAGGAGGCTTATTAACCGAATTAGCAGCGTGGTGATGAAAGAAGGCAGCGGCGGCGATATTGAATCCTCTTAACCCGGTATTGGAAGCGTTCTGAGCACTGTTGGCAGCCATCCCTAAAGAGTTCTGAGTAAACCCCAAATTATGCGCGAAATGCAACAGCCCCGTCGTTATTTGCGAAGGTCTGGATAGTATGTGGTCGATGCCGTGGGGGTTGGCGCCCTGCGAGCTGTTACTGTTGCTGGTCGCCCCCAAAGGACTCCTGGAGCTGAGCCCAGAGCGGTCCACGTGCAGGCCGGTCCTTTCCAAAAGCACATCGGTGTCACTCTTGTCCTGCACGTGCATGTGGTCCGAGGGACTGAGGTGGTTCTGGTGCTGCTTCATCTCCGCCATGGAGTGCAGCGCGGCCAGAGGCGCCGCCAACATGTTTCGGTGCTCGAGGTTGAAGAGTCCCAGGTTCTGGTGACTGGCGAACTCCAGCATCTTGGACACCGGCGGCGGTGGTGTGACGGACACTTCGGAGCGGTCGCTGGACGCGTCGCTATGCTGCGTCATCGCCGCTGGGGACGCCGTAGTTGAAGCTGGGGGACGCGATCGAGCCGCGTCTTTGGGACAAGTCTGGTGCTAGGATTTGTGGCTTGGCTCAACTCTAGCACGACACTCACTACACGCACATGACACCGTGCCGCAGGATCGGGCTCCAGCTCTGAACCGCCAACGACAGACAGTTGTTTAACAATGAAGTGGCGACACGCTCCCAAGAAGAGATGCAGTCGGCGAGGTGAGTCTGTGGGCGGTGGCAAGGTGATCGGCAGTGGGGAGAGATGTCTATAGAGTGAACTGCATGTTAAATATGTGCTACTGTTAAGCTCATTACGGTAGCCTCTATGGCAGTTAGCGATTCGGTGCGTGTCGCGGAGCTGCGTGGTTGCACTCTGCTCTATTTTTAAAAGAGATTAATGCTTTTTTCATTGGCCAGAAGGAGGGTCGCGCGGCGCCGCGGCTCTTTCCCATTGGCGCGTCGCGCTCTCCGCGGAACCGCCCGCCATTGGCTGCAACCGCCCTTCCCCCTCCGGCGCTTCAAACCGCTCCGATCCTTCTTGCCGCTCGCACACACGCCGCAGCTTCCGCTCCCTGGACCGCATCACCTTCTCCGTCGCTCCAGCATCACTCCACACTTCTCGTAACGCCACAGCTCCTAAAATCATTTTTAACGGTATTTATTTTATCTAATCAGTGTCTTATTTGTTATTAAAATTAATTTTTAATCAACTATTTTAATTATAATTCCGGTCATATTACACGCGCTTCCCCTATATTAAGTATCTTATCATGCAAGATCCAAAATTGTAACGTACACAGTGGCGTATCTAAAGGTTGAGTCTGGGGTGGTAAAATTTAAGTACTAGATTTAAATAAAATTTGCTCCGAACAGTGTTGTGACTATGAAACTTGGATTGGTCGGATTTTCTATTGATTGGTGTCATTAATTTCTTTTGTATATATACCACATTTTATGTTATTTATAAATTTCTTTCTGGGAACGGTACGGAGCAATTATCCACCGTAGAATGGTAGAGAGTTCCACAACGCTAAAAATGTTTTACAATTAAATAACTACCCCTCTTCTCTAGTTAATAAATTATGAGTATGTAAATAAGATAAATGACCCCATCGATGGTCTAGAGAATTAAATCCTTTTAATGGCAATAGACAGATCACCTAGCAAGGAGGATTGACAAAGAATGGATCACAAAAATTACACAATGATCACAAAAAGTATAAGAACACCAGATAGATATCTACCCTAATCTAAGATGAGGCTAAATACGATATTAAATGGCTTTGTCCATGTTGGTGTGCTAGACCCATCTTTAATTAGAGCACTTTTACCACTGTCTAATTTTGGAGATCCATCTTTCCGTCTGTTGTGATATAAGTGGATCACTTCTGTTCTTCTGCCTTCTCCACTCTATATTGATAACAAAATCTTTAAAAGCTATGAAACGATGTTACTTGTGTCTTCTGAACTGTAGATAGCTCTATCTCTCTTCAGAATATCATTAATCTTAATTAAAGTGAAATTTAGTTATCTTTCGTGTCTTCGTAGAAATCCATGAAAAAGCATTTCTTGCCATTCTTTTAATAGTCATCCCATGTGATTTTATCTGACAGTCAACTAAACCTATGTATGCGATATTTTTTCACGATAATTAGATTGTCGTATAATAAACTGACATATCGCCTAACCTAAACTGATCTATTAAATATATGGGCGAAATTAAACGATGTTCAACGAAATATTCCAATCCAATAATTAAATTACTTACCCTCATTTAAACATGTAATATCAAAAAGGCTTTTAACGTTCCTGGGGTGCATGTAGCGATGCAGAGGGTTGACGCCCCCTCTTTCAATAGAAATCAACAACGACCGTCGAGTTAATCGAATGAAACTAAAGCAATTTCAGCTATTTCTATTAATTTTCCATTTATATCTTGTTTGCCTAATAGTATAATACAGCTTTTTAATTTGTACAGTTCATATACGAAATAATATACCGAATTTGGATTGAATAACACCGTAAATTTTCTAAAATAGCAGCACAATAAAATTTCTCTAATTGTCTCAAGATAGAAAGTAGACTAGACGTGCTAAAAGGGCCTTTTAGAGGAAACAAATGGGCACTTAGAGAATCGACCACAAACATCAGTGCCAATGCTATATGGAAGCTTTAACTGTAAAGTCCACCCAATCTTCGGATGACGTTCGTGGAACAAGGCCTTATTAAGCTCAAAAAAGGAAAATTTCGAATAAATTATGCTTATATTATTATTAGTATCATCATTTCGAGCTTATTAAACCTTTTCTTGTTTTGATGTAGCCTCCCTTACATTTTTAAAGGAGGCTACACCAATTACAGGGGTCCAGTTATAAGGATAATCTCCTTGTAATTGGACCTATTGTAGTCTATTGTTGGCTATGCTGATGTAAGACATCACTGCTAATTTCCTAATATCATATGGTCCCATCTTAGGTTTGGTCATCTTCTATATAGGTCTCTGAATTCTTCGTGGGTACCCTACAGAAATTAATAATTACGATCAGTGGCGGATACAGAAATTAATTTTAGGGGGGGGGGCAAATAAAGAATAATGCAAAATATGCCTTTTAGGGCGCCATTTTTAATCCAAAAGCCTAATATTTAACCCAATTTACAGATCTAAGGGGGGGCCAGGGCCCATGGCCCCCCTCTGTATCCGCCACTGATTACGATTAATTTTGTCGTAGGTCTTCTTCAGTAATTAATCAAATGTTTTCTTCTTTAGATAAAGTGGCATTCTAGATTTGAATATGAGTTTCTTCCATAAGAACTCTACGCTAATTTAATTCTTCTCTTGACTTCCGGTTCCGGAAGCTGTGTATTAGTTGTCCCATAAACTTAAATTTTTTTTAAGTCTATGAGTTGTCCCAAATATACAGGGTCCGGCAATAGTGCGTCGGGTATCTGTAGCTCCTAGAATAAAAAACTTGTGAATTTTATTACAGTTGAGGGTTGGAACCTTTGGTGTTTCACAGCAAAATAAAACACTAAATCACCACAATACACCAAAACACTTTTACTTTTACACTGGACGCGCGTTTCGCTAACCATGTTAGCATCATCAGCAGATGATTATAAACTCAGTTTATAATTAGTTTTAATAATATAATAACTCAGTTTATAATTAGTTTATAATCATCTGCTGATGATGCTAACATGGTTAGCGAAACGCGCGTCCAGTGTAAAAGTAAAAGTGTTTTGGTGTATTGTGGTGATTTAGTGTTTTATTTTTTTTTGTTGTGAATTTTGTTTAATTGCAAACCTAAAGTATGTACCCAGGATGTATTTCAGAAAAATATTTAAACTATAGGGTGATTCAAAAAGTGTGAGTGGATCTGGATGCTTTTTTTAAATGGAACACCCTGTATATATTTTTTTCAATAGATGGAGAATTAAAAATGAACATGTTTTGTATTTAAAGTATTTTAAAAATTTTAATAGTTTTACAGATACACGCAGTATTATTTCATATGGCGCTTTCAATGGTAAAATACGAGAGAAAAATCATTGGGTGGCTCTGATAAAAAGTTACTGTGGAAAATGCCATATGAAATATAAACCGTGAATATCTGCAGAACCGTTAAAAATTTTGAAATACTCTAAATACAAAAAATATCAATTTTTAATTCTCCATCTATTGAAAAAATAATATACAGGGTGTTCCATTAAAAAAAAACAAGAAAAATTATTTTGTATTTTAGAAAGTTTGGCGTAGAGTTTTGAACATCCTGTATGATTTACGATTTCCATATTTATAGCACAGTAAATACATACCATCTAAAGTAAATACCTAATACTTATAGTTTTGATTTCAGGACAGTTCTTGAATTATTAATATTTTCTTTTAAGAAAGGCTGAAAAATATAGTATAATTTTTATTTATTTATTAATCTCTGAAATTATCGAAATATATTTACTCATGTCTTAGGATTATGTAAAGTGATCTGGAAGGAAGCTAAAAATAATATACAGGGTGTTCCATTTAAAAAAAACTCATCCCTATCCACTCACTCTTTTTTGAGCCACCCTATAGAAGTTATAATACTTTTCTGTAATACATCCTCGTACATACTTTAGATTTACACTTAAACAAAATTCCCAATTTTTTTATTCTAGGAGCTACAGATGCCCGACGCACTATTGCCGGACCCTGTATATCTATTATATTCTTCTACTATTTCCAGTGTTTGCTGGCTGTCTATACCGTAACTAGGGTTTGCAATTTTCGGGATCGGGATCCCGTTTTGAAATCCCGAGATTAGAACCTATAATCCCGGGATTGACTCTGAGAAATACTTAATAAAAATGCAGTTACGTATATCAAAAAGAAAAATGAGAAAAGAGCTTTATTAAAATAGACAAAAAAAGCAACAATCATATTTAGTATGTAGAACAAAGAAAGGAAAAAAAGAAAGTTAAAATCAAAAAATAATATATCTATGAAATGTGTACGATATAAAGTAAAGTATAGTTTATATCAAATAGCGTCAGATATTCTCGGGTCCGGCCCTGGAATCGGAAATCGGAAGCCAAACAAGAAATATATATTTCAAGAAGGTCGCGTTATAGATTCCGACCAAGTTTTTGAATTCAATTTTCGGAATCATAATCTGCACTCGGCATTGGTCAGTCGCATTTCAAATTCAATTGTTTATCCCTCGAGATAGATATCCATCCTCCGTGTGGACGGGGCCTAGGGAGGGGGCTGTATGGAAATCGGACTCTGCCGTCTTGGATATTTCAAATCAGGACTAACACCTGGACCCTTCTTTCTGCGTCCAGAAAAAAACCATAACTCGAAATATTAACACTTTTTTCCTTATTTTTACAATATCTATTTGCTTTCATATAAATAATATACAGGGTGATCCAAAATATTTTCGGAAAAAAGTGCATATAAATTTATGTCCTAAAATGCTTCGTTTCGGAAATACAGAGTGTAAGAAGTTTCATTTTTATTATGATTTTTTCAAAATAATTTCTGAGCTACAGTCGCTATTTGGATGAAAATTCTTTGACATACGAAATTCGATTTTGACGACAGTATGACTCCTACTTGTAGGGGGCGCCACTTACATATTTTTTAGCTGTTGAAATGATGAAAAACAATAAAGAATGAATATATGAAAAGTAATAACTTCTCGTCCGTACCTGTATTACACTAATGAGTGAGAAA